TAACAACAGGTCTCATCGATGTTAGAAGTTTCCAAAAGTTTCGGCGAAAACGGATGCGCCCTTCTCGAGATATTGCATATTAGTGAAAACGGCGATTTTTCAAAAATTATCTTAAAATTGATTTCTCTTCAATGTGCAATATCTCGAGAAGGGCGCATCTGTTTTCACTGAAACTTTTGGAAACTTCTAACATCGATGAGACCTGTTGTTAAGCAAAATTTCAGTTCGAAATTCCTTCATTCAGTTTTTCCATAAATTCCTTGCCCAAGGTCAAAAATTCACTAAAACGGTCATAACTTTTAAAGAAAGGCCTAATGGCACGAACTCTTTTAGGCTTTTTCTAGTCTTATTGGGTCCTACTTATGAGCACAATATGAATCCAAATGGTGCGTATCACTTGGGAATGTTCGCATAAAGCTTGAAAAAATGACATAATCGAAACTAGATAACTTATCATTTCAATCTTGTATAGTTCTTTTCAGGCAAATAGTGATCCAATCGAAATAAAAACTACATATTCGTGAGCAGCTTGTAAAACTCTATCCAATCATATACAAAAGAACAAGAAAAAACTTCACTCAAATTTTACATTATTGACATCGTAGCAAATCTGATGCTTGTGAGACATGGATATTGTTTTTGAAAAATATCTTTCTTGACTATTTCACAAGAAGAAAGATTCCATCGATATGAATCCTTTTAGGCATTCCCCAATTTTAATAGAGCCTTAACAAATGTAGTAAGATTCATCCAAAAAAAAAAGATTTATCATTTGGTGAAATTCTCTCTTCAGCGAAAATTTTATCTCTATACAGCAATGTTTAGTTCATTCATGCAAACAATCCTTGAACGGCATATCGCTGATATACAAAATATTAAGATTTTTTTGGAACCTGAGAAACGCATAGAAATTTCTTTTTATCTAGCGTTTCAAATGAATGCCTGGTTGAGTATCATACCAAGAATCTTAAAATCAAATGTGAATATATATCATTTTGCGAGTAGAATCGGTATAATCTGTACAGGTGTTCAATATGTTTATTAATTTCTTTTCAACGTCTCTAGTGAATATTCAGCAATAATTCTCTTTAATAGTAGGATAAAAGAACAAAAAAAAAATTACAGAAAATTCATCCCTCTGACCATGTCTGTGAAAGGGGCGAGGATCCTCTGTCAAAGCTTCTAGAAGTATTTTCAACTCCTTTCTAAATGGAACTTAATCTTTGATATACAGTGATGAACATGAAAGATAAGTTCATAATTAATTCGTCAGTTTCTAAAAAAATAAAAAAAAAAATATATAAATTTCTTTTTCTTTTTTCTATTCTAGGTTCATTACCATTATCATCAGAAACAACAATAACATTTACTATTATTCCTCGTAATGAATATTCACCGATATGTGATATTAATAATAATAGCATATCAATATCAATAAAGGAAAACAGTAAACACGATACAATCATAAGTACAATATCATGTCGTGATGATGATCAAGATGAATTTAATAGGCAAATGAGTGTAAATGCAAGATGGTGGCCAGAAGAAATACATGATGATAAAATTAAATATAATATTCCATTTGAAATAGTCACTCAAAAAAGTAATTCATCCGAAGTAAGAACATTTCAATTAATAATTATGACCATCTGTCACTATTCTTTGATTGTCCGAAATAAGATTATATTAAAAATGCAAAAAAAAAGATTCTTAATTAACACTAAACAAAGCAAATCATTAACATGCTAATCTAATAAACGGGATTAATTGATCTTTTTTTGTTTTGAAAAAGATATCAATTTCAATATATATTGAGATTAAGTTTAAAACAAAAAATAGAAAATTTCAAGTATTTCATTCGAAAAGATTCAATAATCTGACTGCATGTGGTTTATCGTTTCGATTGGGAATGGTGAAAAAGAATTTTCTAAATTGTTCTGATCTGATTAGATTTACGTTCTTGTTAGTAGTATCGAAATATAAAACAAAGAGTTAATTATTGGCCGCTTTCGAAGTGGAAAAAGCGAGACTTCAGTATTCTGAAATCTATTGTTTCTTTGTTGGCTGTGTCTCTTCGGAAGACGCCTCGTGTCTCTACTAAAGATGTGAAGAACCAAATTTTTTGGGTTCCGGTCCTGATCTGGATAAAATTATTCGAGAATTTATTTGTATCAAATATAGAAAAAATTCTTCGATACTCGTTTTTATTCATTTATTTATTTTTTTTCTTCATTTTTTTAATAGTCAACAATTCAAGTCATGATAATTGTTAATGGTTTAATAGATCGTGAATTAATAGCTTATTATCCATTACTTCTTACTGTATCAGATCATGGTAATCCACCACAATCAACAAATATATCTTTGTTAATAGAAATTCTTGATGAAAATGATAATTGTCCACAATTACATATCGAAACATCATTTATAATGATTAATCGTGATATAACAAAAAAAAGATTTTTCATGCATCTTATTGCGTCAGATAATGATCAAGATTTAAATGGACAAATAACATTTGAATTATCACCATTAACATCACCATCATTTATATCTTTATATACAAATGGTACTTTAATCATACAAACAAATTCAAATTTAATTCATGATGATTCATTAATTATTCTTCATGTACAAATACGTGATCATGGTCAACCAATACCATGTCTTATTGTTGAAACATTACGTTTATTTATTGGCTCAAATCGAACTGATTGGTTAACAATTTTGAAAAAAAATAATAATAATGATGAAGCATCATTAGTAAGAGGAAAAATCAAAAATTTATTCAATAGATTACTTTCTTTTTTACACTGAAATCTACTGTTGAATTTCTATGACAGAAACGATATAGTCTTTCGAGATTACTTATATGACGATTATCATACTCAGCATAGAAAATATAAGATTAACGTATTTTCAAATTTCTTTTATCTAATAGTAATATTGAATAGTCAATGTTGGACTTCAGTTAAATACTTGATACGGTAGAAGAAAAAACAAAAAATATGTTGGTCTTACATTTTTTTGTTAATATTCTATGTGTAAATTTCATTACAAAAAAAAAGAAATTATACATCTTATGTTTTTGAATAGAAAAAGTACGTTCGAGATTCTTTTCTGAGAGTTCGTTAGCGATAGAAAAAAACGTCAAGAATGATGAGTAGCAAAATGCATAAATAGATAAGATGAATCGATTCTGTGGCGAAAAAAATGATATATTTGATAGTAGTATAGTGAAGCTAGAGAATACATTAAGTTTCTTGAAAAACCTTAGTCACATATTCATCTGAAATTAGGATTTCTTTGTTCTCGGCACAGAAGAAAAGTTTTCGTTCTGAAAAAAAATAATTATTCGTTTTCCAAAAAGACATTTTCAGTAAAGTTAATCGCCACTTTTTTCACTAATCTTGATATCGATGAAGCTTTTAGAAAACGTTCTTCTATATGTTGAGACATGTACTCAAAAGAATTTTGAAACAAAAATAAAGATATATTTGAAATCACCGTAAAAAACTACATCAAGTGATATACCATTTATCCTGTTATTAAAACAAGAAGTTTAGGGTAAAGGTCTTCCTCAGGAGTTTTTCATTACAAATGATCTTTTTTCTTCAAGTTTATTTGTAACCACAAGAAGCAAAGATATCCATAACAGTCCTGCTGCTACCACAAACCGCGATGAACATCTCTAAAAAGCCACTAATATTTCTATGAAAAAAAAAAATCGTTTTTTTTTTGCAAGAAAAAAAAGTCCTATCTATATACTCGATAGAAATTGTCCACTATGTGCTAACAAGTTTTCTTTTCCTAATTTAAATTAATTAAACTATTTTCATGAATATATTATTTAATCTAGCGTCTTGTCACTGAACAATTTCAACAAGGTAAACGAATGGCTTATTCATTTTCTTTACAATCTACAACAATATCATCTTCTTTATCGAAAGATTCATTATATATAACTTCATTAAAAATTCGTAAACAAATATTTGCTGTATTTATTGGTTCATCTATAATTATTTCTATTATTATAATAACAATAATATTATGTTTTGTTGATCGTTTATATAAAAAAACTAAAAAGAAAAAATCTTCAATGAAATTAAATGGTATTATCAATCATAGTCCATATATTTTAACAAATGGTAAACGTTATGCTAATTCATCACCTTTTAAATCTCGATATTCTTATGAAGATGAATCACCTACACATAATTATACAAGTTTAAAATCTATGAAACCTATTATTGTTGTTGCTTCATCGACTTCTCAATCATCATCATCATCTGTTGATTCAACAACACGTGTTAATACAACACATAGTCGTATAATGAATACAACATATTCATATACACCTATTGGAACAAATGATGAATTAATGCCTATTGAATTTGAGGATAATATTGATGATATTCATAGTGGTATTGAATTGATGATGACTACTGTTTAATAAAATCGACATGTGTAGAATTCTTTATAATGAGTGTATTTTTTTAGTTCGATTATGTGAATAAAAATAAATAAATAAAATAAACAAATTCGTAAGAAATAAAATTTATTATTCTATGAGATAAATAATCCAATGAAATTTCTTAAATGATGTTTTGTTCTATTTGAAAAAATAGAAAGTTTTAGCGAAATATTATCTTTTCCCAACAAGGACTAATTTTTACAGATATTTTCATAAAATTTATCAAAGGAAAAAAAAACAGTTTATGAATATTTCTGAATACACTTTTTACAAAGTATAAGATAATGTTGTCTTATGAAAAATTTCTTATCACTATACTAGATCTTTGACTTTATTTCAAATTGCGACCATCTTAAACGAAGAACGAATTAACGTCATTTTCAGATATTCAATTATTTCTTAATTATCCTTTTTTTTTTTTGCGTATATATTTCCTTGAATAAAATGAATTATTTTTAATAATTAAAATATCAAAATGTTGTAATCACGTCAAGACAACTATACGAACGTCTGTTTCTGGTCTTTAATCATATTTTTTTTTATTCTACCGTGTCGCGCCTATTTGCAGTGCCTCAGAATATACTTGAATATGTCGGATCAATTCATTCATAGAAAGAATAAATTATTCTTTTCACTTTTGCTTAATAAATATTAATAAAAAAAAATCTTTTTATGTAGCTAAATTATCAAAATCATATACTACAGTATAATCGTATCGAAAGAAAATAGTCATTTACAAATATTTTGTACTTATGATTAATAGTTTCATATTTTGTTACTAAGTAAACACGTGTTCGTTCTTTTTTCATTGTTCTGTTTGATTTTTCATTGACGGTTGTGTACTATACTGTTTTTTTGTTCAGAACTTCGTGTTTTATAGAGCAAAAAAACAAAACCTTCAAAAGAAAAAAATAACATTGACAGGTACGCATAGTTATTATTCGTTTCACAATAATATTGAGAACAATATGACAAAGCATGTGATATATGGCGTGTAAAGTAACTATTTGGACATCCTATGTAACATTTCTTGACTTTCATTAGACCATTCGATAGATCAAAATTCCTGTGTTATTCCACAGACAAAAAATGTTCTTTTCGAAAAAGTTTTAAAATTTTTCGAAGGTTTTCGATAATTCACATGATTTTCTATGCAAAAAATGATTTCGAGTTATACTTCATTTGATGGAAAAAGAAAATATTTGTTGTACGCTAGAAATAATCAAACTTTTAAAAATTCGAAATATCTGAAACTCTATCAGTCTTGACGAAATGAAATCTCAACTCCGACTACATTATTCGATAGAGAGAAGTAAACTTAATCGAATCATGTTCTTTACTTTCAAATAAAATTAAGTTTTTTTATGGATTTTACATTAATCTCGTTTTTTTTTTCAGGAGGAAAATTAGATCGAAAATAGTTTAAAAATATATAAACTTGTAGAGAATTAAATTCTCTACAACATGATGTGCATATATACAACATTAGTGATTTCCTGTCAGAGCTATGTTTTTAAGTACATTTTCCGGTCCAGAAAGGAAAAATTTGTCTTCGTGCTGTTATATATTACGGATGGACTATAATCTGTTGTCTTTCCTTCCTTCCTGCATTAAAGAATGAACTGCAAAAGATAGATCTTTAAAGGAAATTGCTAATCGTGTATATATGCACATCATGTTGTAGAGAATTTAACTCTCAATAAGTTCGTAAATTTTGAAAAAATACGTTTAGCCTAATTTTCCTTCTGAAAAATTGAGATTAATGTAAGTTCCATAAAATAACTTGATTGTATTTAGTAACTAATACTTCTTTTCGTTGATTTTGTTTGAAAATAGAGGGTATATGATTTGAGTCAGTTTAGTTTCTTCTATTGAATAATGTATGTTGAACTGTAATTTCATTTTGTTAAGACTGAAAAACTTAGAATTTTTGTATAATCTATAGACCTTTAGATATTTCGAGCTTTTCAAGGATTTATCAAGATTTTTTTCTGTAGACAAATGTTGTGTCAATTGAATGAGATATAACTCTAAATATTTGAATACAGGATAAGAGAGACCAAAAAAGAAAATTTGAAGTATCCAAATATTTTTTTTTTGCATAGGAAATTACGTGTTTTATGAGACAAATTTTAACATTAAAAAAAAATTTTTTTTAAAGGAAGTTTTCTTGTAGAATAAAACCGAGATTTCAATCTATCGAATAATATAATCAGAGTCAAGAAAGTATTATTTCTGTGTAGTGAAATTTTCCTCGAGAGAATTGCCTTACAGGAAGAATGTGCAAATAATTATTTTACATGTTGTATGTATCAAAGTGTATCCGGTATGGCTGATCTTAGAGGTATTTTTAGCATATCAGAAAATCTGTTTTTTTTTGTGCTTTTAAGAGAAAAATACATCAAGTTTTGAAGTCAAAACTGGATTATTGATTTTCAGAATTCTATGATTCCGGATGGGAGAGTTAAAAACGAGGGTAGCTGATTTTACCTCTGGAAGATTCTTTCGCATAGTCTTTCATAAAAATTTCAACCTAAGCAGATAAAATTAGAGTAAGATTGTAAGCGATCAAGATTGAGAAAACTGATATTTTATGTTTCACTAATGAGGGAACTACGCGAACTGATACCCGCTGTTTGAGTTCATATTGGGTTCACACGAAGGTCTTAGTTACATTAGAAAAAGCCTAAAAGAGTTCGCCCTCATGGATCTCGACAATCGAGTTACAACCGTTTTACTGAATTCTCAATTCAATTTTAGATACCCACTGAAAAATAAAATAACGGTATTTAGACCTGAAGTTTTTGCTCATAAACAGATCAGATGGCAAGTAGAATATTCTGAAAGTTCCAACCGAAAAGAATATCCTTTTGTCGAGATATTACATTATAAGTAAACTCGATTTTTATAACATATTTGTTGGAAAGAACTATTTTTTGGAAACTTAGTGTCTCAATCAAGGAGCATTCTTTTCACCAGCAACTTTTGTGAAACACGATCTGAAAGGAGTGTTGAAGTGTTTAGGGGCAGAAATTTGCACCCCCCGCCACAGACCGTGACAGAGAAACTCCAGTACTCATCACAGATCGTGACAGACAGGCTCGGAACCCATCACACACCGTGATAGAGAAACTGTGGTTCTAAAGCATTAGATAAACGGTTAGTTACAAATGTATCGAAAGAAATGGAACAAAACGATTTCCATTTAACTAGTAACAATAGATTCATCGTGTTTCACATTTTTAATCCCGCAATAGGATTGCGCTAACAGCTTTTAGTATATTCTGTAGGTCATTGAATTTATTTATGAGCTAAATTTTAGATTGAAATTCTGTTTTTTTTTTGACATTTATGTGTAGCTTGAAATAGAGTTTTTGATCAAAAATAAAGGGGATACGGATACTCTTAAACAATGAATTCTGAAAACAAGTTATAATTTAACAAAGTATAGTCGTAATGTTGTCTGTCTTCTGGTAAAGTTAAAAACAATCCTTATCGATTAGGATTTCTTTTCTTCTTGAATAAATTTCTCAATTTTTTAAAATAAGTCAACTAAAGTGTCGATAAAACGATATAACATATCTACTAGATATTAGCAGAACGATTCGCTTTTGATTCTGATCTCATCTTAAAATATATCCTTTAAAAATATGCATTCGATTCTTGAACTTACATTTCTTATAAATTGCTTTCGAAAACTAAAGGATTAAGACCAAATAAATTTAAAACTTAAATCAGGTCAAAGATCGTTAATTCTAAGAGGAAACAATATAAATTCATTTATGATTATTTTTCAACATGCACAACTTAATGTTTGAGAGTTGAAAAATAATATTCTTTTGAAATAGAATATTTCTACTTGAATTGAATTTTACACCTCATTGAATCTCTAGATACTTTGAGTGTAAGATATTATTGAAATAATAAAATTGATTTATCATAAATAAATACTATAGATTTAGATTTCTTTTCTATATAAGTGAAAACTAATGAGAATTCAAAATTTATATACTTATCTATTTATTTATAAAACCTATAGGTTATATTCTTTTAATCATAAAAAAAAAAAGTTTCTTTGACCTCTCTATGTATTAAAAATTGTCCTTCAATATAATCATGTTCTTATTTGATCGATCGATTTCAATGGCCCGTACATTTCCGTTCACGGCAATAGGTTAAATTATTCATTACGATTCATATGTTTTATTTCCTCTGAATTTCACAGCATTATGAAAATATTACTTAGATACCTATTATGAGAGTTAGATAAAATGAGCAATAACTCATGAGCATACTTGAAATAAATGATACTCAAATATTAGTATCATTCATGTGTATAATTTGTATATATTCGGAGATATTGTTTAGAATATATTTATGTAAAATTATTCATTCTTTTTAATTTAATAATGATTAATAGAAATCTTCAAGGTTTTAATTGTCATTAGAAATATATTATTCTATGAGAGAACGGTAGATGTCAGGATTGTTCACCAATGTTATATATGTTACATATAATAATATCCAATCAAATATTTCAAACGAAAAGAGAAAAAGCATCGTTAATTTTCATTGATTTTCTTTCGACAGTATTCGTCATCATGATTATCTCATCGCATGATGGTAAATGAGTACATATACATACAGATTCATAATTTTTCTTTTTTTTATTATGTTTTTAAGATAAAATGCTGCTTCTATAGGACAATATCTTTTGTTTTTTGTTAATGTATATTTTAAAAAAATTCTAATAAATAGACTAAATATGGGATTTTTATTTTCAAAAATATGGGCTTTATTTGGTAAGTTAAAAAAAAAAATTTCTCATCAATCAAATTTATATTTCTTCAATTAATAATATAGGTAATGAAGAACATAAAATAATAATCGTTGGTCTTGATAATGCTGGTAAGATAAAAGAATAAAAAAAAAAATTCTTTATTTTATTATTATTATTTAGTTTATTTAATATATTTTAA